ATTCATCTTATACTAATAAATTAATAAATCTAATTTTAAAAAATTTAAAATATATTTTAAATATGAGCGCAAGTCATTTTTTTAATTTACAAGATAAAAACATAGTTTATTTCATTATTATTAAAATTTATATTTTAAAAGAAAAATAAAAAGTCTAATGAGAGATGATTGGTATACACTTATGTGTAGTGTTACATTCATCACAGGTTGTAATAAGAGATTAATCTTATCCAAAAACAGCTTTCTAAATATTCTCAATATCTTATTTAAAAAATTTTAAGTAACTAACTGTAAAAATGAAGAAAAAAAACCATGCAAAGATATTGTTTTAATTTCTAATTTTTATTTCTTAATTTCATATGAACATGAAATGTAACATTTAAGAACAGGAAATATCATATAGATAATTTGATATTTTATTATAAATTTATTTAATTATATTATGAATAATGTAATATATAAATTAATTTTTATTATAATACATAGTTAACTAGATCTATATATTAGGTTTAACAAATTTTTTTATAAATTTATATTTGACATTTTTAAATAAATATTTTTAAGATTAAATCTGGCATTTTTAGTAACTAAAATTTATAAGAAATCATATATTTATTTATATATAATTTCTTTATATTTTAGTTATATAATAAATATTTGACCTATGAAGTGTATAAACTAATATACTAGTATTATTAAAATAAAAAATTGTAAAAAAATATTGACAAACGCTCTCCTAACACGTTAAAAAATGATGCTAAATAGTTTAATTCGAAACATTATTCTGATTTAATATATAAGATAAATTATATATAGGGATTTCCCACTCAATGGTCTTTGCACGGAAAAAAATCCACACTCTAATTTATATTTATACAAAATAAGAAGTATTAAAGTAATGTTTATAATTTATAACTACTTGATTTTGTGTTCGAAAAGAAAAAAAAACTACTTGATCAAAGTTCCAAAAATTTCCCACTCAAATTTCCCGGTAAAAAAATCCGTACCTTATCCCTCTTTCATTCAAACGCAATTTTATCTATTAATCATCCATCATCACACATTTTATTTTTCGGTGTGTAATTCTTTTATTGATTTCACATAAATATGGTTAAGAGCTTGTTATGTGCAAATTATCAAATCTTAATGGCCTCGTGTGGTAACTTTCAAAGAGCTACAATCACATGGAGTTTCCTAATTGTTGTATCCTAATAGAATTCTTAATAGTAAAACAAATACCTTAAGAAAATATAATATTCATGAGATTTTGGTTGTTTAAATGTTTATTTTCTTTTGCAGCCTCCTCAAGTCCACAACTTTCCTTTCATCTACATTTATTGCTCCAAATGCCTTAGGTATCCCCGCATCTTGATCGATTTTATTTTAAGAAAATTGAAATTAAATACATTCAAATTTATACGAAATAGATAGCATAGTAAGAATTTTTTACTCAAATAATACTATTTTAAAAAATATTTACTCAAATAGTAACTGTGTAAATTTATTTCCTAGACTAGCACTATTTACTGTTCACGTTCTAGAACGGGCCAATCCAAATTAAAAAATAACACATGACGAATGGATCAGAACGGGCCGTTCCGAATTCAAAAAATGCACATAAAAAGGGGAACAAGACCGGGCCGTTCTGAATCTGGAACGGGCCGTTCTGGCCTACAGATTTAGGTTTTTTTTTTATTTTCACTTATCAATTACTAAAACTCAGAGACTACCATCAAGTGATTAAATTTATTGAATATTAACATTATAAATATAACTAAATAAATTTATTAAAATTCATTACAACAATAAAGATCAATGGTGGCGTGACCAGGAGTGTGACAATAGGAACAATTTTTTACACGATTATGTTATTCTCTAATGTCCATCTCTGTTCTAATCCTGCTGGACTTTGGTCGACTCTTGAAAGTTCTTTTGCATTCTAGATTTGGCTACAAAGTTGGAAGAAACGCAACATCTGAGAGAAGTTTGACCCGTTGAGAAATTTACAATAAGGCTAAATGAAATGTGGTATGATTGCAGCAAGTTTCAGAAAGTTCATATCCCTTGCTCGCATGACCCGCTGGGAGATTTACAGTAAGGCGTGACCAAGAGTGTGACAATAGAAATAATTTTTTACACGATTATGTTGTTCTCTAATGTCCATCTCTGTTTTAATCCTGCTGGACTTTGGCCGACCCTTGAAAGTTCTTTTGCATTCTAGATTTGGCCATAAAGTTGGAAGAAACGCAACATCCGAGAGAAGTTTGACCCGCTGAGAAATTTACAATAAGGCTAAATGAAATGTGGTATGATTGCAGCAAGTTTCAGAAAGTTCATATCCCTTGCTCGCATGACTCGCTGGGAGATTTACAGTAAGGCTAAATGTAATATGGTGTGATTGCGGCAAGTTCTAAAAAGTTCATATCCCTTGCTCGCATGTACTTGCTTCATGCTTACATGCACATCACGACTATCAAACTTACATATCTCTCATATATACCTTACAATAAGTTGCAAAAGTATACGAAGGACAGTTTGGAGAGCTCCGACAAGAAGATTATTGGCCTACTTACACTAGTCCAACTTTGTGGCCAAATCCAGAGATCAAGAGAACTTTCAAGGCTGGCCAAAGTCCAATAGGATTAAAACAGATATGGACATTACAGAACAATATAATCAGTTTCTGCCACCATTGATCTTTATTGTTGTATTGAATTTTAATAAATTTATTTAGTTATATTTATAAGGTTAATATTCAATAAATTTAATCACTTGATGGTAGTCTATGAGTTTTGGTATGTAATTGATAAGTGAAAATCAGGAAAAAAAAAAGTCTAAATCTGTAGGCCAGAACGACCCGTTCCAGATTCAAAACGGTCCGTTCTAGTTCCACTTTTTATGCGCACTTTTTTGAATCTGGAACGGCCTGTTCTGATCCATTCATCATGTGTTATTTTTTAATCTAGAACGGCCCGTTCTGGAATCAGAACGGCCCGTTCTGGAACGTGAACAGTAAACAGTGCTAGTTGGGAAAATAAATTTGCACGGTTTTTATTTGGGTAAATATATTTTAAAATAGTATTATTTGAGTAAAAAGCTCAACATAGTAAAGTCATTATCATAAAAAACAAGATTAATAAAAATATGCTTTATTCCATTACTTAAATCAAGATCTTGATTTTTTTTTTACAAAAAATTAACTACTTAATTTTCATACTAATTTCTCTCCATAATTTCACTGTTATATCTATACATAATTTAAACACAATCTTGATCATTCTTGATTGTAATTTTTTTTAAATACTGAAATATCCACCCTCTTGTACTTATTCTGAAACACAATCTTAATCAATCATTTCCTTCTTTTGGTGATGTTCTTACCGGAGATCGGTCGTGAGGGACGATCTGCTGGGCAAGATTGGTGAGCCTCCTTCGCTGGGTACGTCGGCTGTTCCCAAGTGGGGGTGGTACCTGCAAAAGAGACTCCGATGCTAAAGGTAGTCTTTGTGGGTGTATGAGTCTCGTATATGTAATGCACGTACCTTAGTGTGAATTAGGGTTTATCTGGGCCCTGGGCCTAAGGTTGATTGTGATTCGTTCAGGTAGTGGGCCTTTGTTTTGGCCGATGTCTTGTAGCGCTCATCCGATGTCGTTTAGCGCCTCAGTGCCGAGCTCAAGCTCGATTTCGCGATAGGGATAGTACACATGCCCCCGAGCTCCGAAGATCGTGGGTCGAGGAGTTAATTTCGAGTTTAGTGAAGGGTCGCGAATCTTCTTTTACGCCCCTTAGGCAGAGTGCCATGTGTCATAAAGTGTCGTCTCGTTTCTCGAAACGCATGGGCGGCGTGTTAATGGGGGGTGACGATTTACAATGATGGGATGTACTCGTCATAATGGACCTCATTTAATGCCCTGCCCGTTTTGTCATTTTCTGCCCTCGTGTCACTTCCTTCCTTATTTTGAAAACACGTTCCCCTCTCTCCTCCTTCGCGCACTTTTGCATTCTCATCCATTTTAGCTTTTTCTTTACGCTTCGCACACTTCCGGTTTCCACCATTTGAATTCTTCTCTACGCTGAGTCTCTCCTATGCGTGTTTTTGTCTCAAACTTTCACCGCCCTTACTCTTTCGTCTTCTCTGTCGCTCTAAACGTCGCTCTCAGTGCCTTCGTTGCACTGTCAATGTCCACTACTAGAAAAATTAAAATTAGAGAGGGAACAAATCCGTCACTAATCTTCATAAAATCCGTCACTAGTAAATTAGTGACGGAATTTGTGACGGAAATGATTCCGTCACAAAATTTGGTGTCACAAAATATTTAGTGACGGATTATTTTCTCCGTCACAATTAGTGACGGAATTAAGGCATCACAAACAATATAATTTCCATCACTAATTTCTAACAATAAATGTTTAGAAATTAATAAAAATCCGTCGCAATTTGTGACGCCTCTAACTCCGTCGCAATTTGTGAGGGATTAAATCCCTCGCAATTTGTGAAGGATTAAATCCCTCGCAATTTGAGAGGGATTGAGAGGTATGTGAGTCCGTCACAAATTGTGATGACACAAAATCCCTCACAAATTGTGATGAACGAATCCGTCACAAACTGTGATGCCAAGTATCCGTCACAAACTGTGATGACTATAATTGACTAGAATCCGTCACAATTTGCGACGCCAGAATTCCGTCACAATTTGCGACGGATAAAATTCGTCACTGACTAGGCTGAATCCCTCACAAACTGGGTGCCTTTGATGACTAAATTTGTGATGAATAAATTTTTTAGAATTGTTTATTTTTAAATATTTTTAATAAATAAATAAAACAAAATATGTTTTTAATTATTTATAAAAATAAAACATTTTCTATAACTAGTTTGCTGTACACTTGCAATTTCTTAAACCTGTAAAATAAATGAATTTTTTTATTTTTAAATTTGTATCATTTTATACCCTTGTGCTCCCATCATGTAAAAAGACTTGCACAACAATCCAGCTTCAACTGAGATCAAAATCACCTTGAACTATATTCACAACTCATCAAACTACAGAGGAAAAAAATATAACATCGTACTATTTTACTTACAGAGAAACTTATCAATTATTCAAAATTTAAAATAAAAACAAAGTCAAAAATGAATTCTTTCCATACACAAATAGACCCTCTTCCACTTGCTAGAGAGAATAATTGACTAGGCAAATAATGAAGAAACTACAGTGATGCTCTTATATCAGCTGATGATAGAACTGTAGTTGGCATGTTCATGTCATGGTCGGTGATAAACATACTTTGTTCTGGGACCACAATGAGACCCTTTCCTCCATTCACTTCTAAGTCATGCCTACCAGATCACAAGTACAAAATGAATTAGAACCTATAATCTAAACTACATTTAAAAGGAAATAGAAACATCAAACACATTAATCAGGAAAACTCTACAAGTAAAATTATAAAAAATGGAAGGCTCTTGTTTAGTCAAATACCATTAAAAAGGTTCAAGAAAATAAAGAAGAATGATAATTAATACTGTGAAATACAAACATATAGCCACAAGAAGTGATTTCAAGTGCTTATTTGGTTTACACCGCAAAAATGTTTGAGGAAATGAAAAAGTATTCTTTTTTTTTTTTCTGTTTTTTCATCGCCAATCATACATTTAATACTGCTGAAAAAGGCTTTCAAACAAGTAAGAAGAAATATCTGTATCTGTTGATAATGCTCAACATTTTGCTGAAAAGCTGAAGCACAGTTGTAGCATTGTAAAATTGCAACAGAAATTTAGATTATTGAGCAAAAGGCAAAATCATATTTTGGTCTGACATCTGCTTTAATTCTTACTTTAGCCCTCGACATTTCTTTTGTTTTCACCTTAGTCCCTGAAATTTCTACTCACTTTAATTTAGTCCCTCCACCTAGGCATCTAATAAACAAAAAACATTGTTAGAATATATAAGAAAACAACTTATCATATCTTAGATATCTTTTAGGATTAGTTTAGAATAATGAACCTGGGCTGGTGCTTTAGGTTTCATG